TCAGTCGTTGCCCATCCGCCGCCTCGGGACTCCCCTCCTCTGGCTCCGCCTCGTCCCTTCGTCCCTGTCAGGCTACTCCTTCCCTCCGGCTCCACCTCAGTCCTCTGTCGCTCCGGCTCCAACGCAGCCTTCCGGATACCCGTCTCCGCCTCGGTCGCCGGCACCATCTTCTCCGCCTTGGCCCTCTGGATCCTCGTGTCATGTCTGCCTGCCAGCCCTTTGCCTTCCCCTGTCACCATCCCACATCCACTCCTTTGTCCTCCTCCTAAGTCCCCCTCCATCCCACCCTCTGTGTCAACGGCGCGAAGACGCGCCTTCTGGGAGGGGGGCGAATATTGATATTGATAAAATGATTTTAAAAAAGTATAATTAAAAAGTATAGGTTATAAGAATTGTAAAGTAATAGCACATCTCTCAGCAAACTGAATGAATTGAGAAATAGAACCAGTGGCTGTTCAAATCCCTGACACTAAATATTAATACAACTATTATTATTTAATTAAATTACTATAAAAACAGATCACTTGACAATGAGGTTCTCTCAAAATGGAATAAAACCTGCCTTATTTTTTCTTACACACATGCGCGCATACAGATGTGGTGAAACACACCACTGAAATGCATCTATAATCAGAATAATTTTACCTTCCATTATCTGTGCAGACAGACAGCGCTGCGGGGGTCAGAATAACACACACACACACCCTGACCCATGTCTTACCCAGAACCCATTTCATGATGAGGAGCTCAGTCCAGGAGAACTGCGTGGTCTTGACGCGAAACACCTGCCTCGGATGATCCGTTATGGTCTCGTTGGGGAGGTTCTTCACACCCTCAAACCGGTCCGACGCATTCAGAAGCAGCAGACCCAGGAAGATGGTGAACGACACGGCGTGAGCAACAAACTTCATGAAAGGACTCCGTAATATCTGACCCAACTGGAAGACAGAAAGATGAACATGAGATATTATATAACAGTATATAACAAATCTAGGATACAATAACTTTAAATAGAAATGATTGAAGCCAAAAATACATTGTATGGGTCAAAATTATAGATTTTTCTTTTATGCCAAAAATCATTAGGATATTAAGTAAAGATCATGTTCCATGAAGATATTTTGTAAATGTCCTACTGTAAATATATTAAAACTAATTGATAAGTAATATGCATTGCTAAGAACTTCATTTGGACAACTTTAAAGGCTATTTTCTCAATATTTAGATTTTTTTTGCACCCTCAGATTCCAGATATTCAAATAGTTTTATCTTGGCCAAATATTGTCCTAACCTAACAAACCATATATCAATGGAAAGCTTATTTATTCAGCTTTCAGATTCAGCTAAATCTCAATTTCGAAAAATTGACCCTTATGACTGGTTTTGTGGTCCATGGTCACAATTAAGGTTTTTGAGGAAAACATTCCAGGAATTTTCTCCATATAGTGGACTTCAATGGGAGCCAACGGGTTGAAGGTCCAAATACGCATTACGTAATCACGTTGGAAAAGTCATGCAAGGTTAGTTTTCATCTGTGTACTTCGGTTCAAAAAGGTAGGGTAGGGCAAAAAACTCCATCTCATTTTCTCCTCCAACTTCAAAAGCATCCGACATCATTGTTTTAGCTTTTTTTGTAAGGGTGTTTTACCTTCTTTGCATGTTCGCTTTGTAAACACTGGGTCAGTACTTCTTTCTACATCTCTCGTGACCTTTCCAACGTGATTACGTAATGCGTGAGGTCAAGCTAGTGTAAGACGAGCATCTGTGGTTAAAAAGTATAGAAACTTTTTTTAGAAAATGACTGTTTGTTTCGCTAGATAAGACTCTTATTCCTCGGCTGGGATCGTGTAGAGCCCTTTGAAGCTGCACTGAAACTGCAGTTTGGACCTTCAACCTATTGTTCCTCATTGAAGTCCAATATTTGGAGAACAAACCTGTAATGTTTTCCACAAAAACCTTAATTTCTTATTGACTGAAGAAAGAAAAGCATGAACATCTTGGATGACATGGGGGTGCGTAAATTATCAGGAAATATTTATTCTGGAAGTGAACCAATCCTTTAAAAGGTACGAAGATGAAACTTACAAAATGTACATAATAATACAAAGTTTTCATCCTCAAGTTTACATGACACCAAAATAAAACACAAAAAACAAACAATGGTGAAGGGGAAAGTCATTCAGGTTTAGCGCAACATGAGCCTGAATAATTCCTTTAAAGTGTGACTCATCAAAATTCCTGAAGACGATGTAAATGTGAGGTGAATTTCATAGAGCTGATGTTCTGATTATTAGCTTGAGACTCAAGCACATGAGTCTGTAAGGAATAATCCCACTTTGATAGATTGATTCTTTTAAATATTCGGTCATACAAACACATTCATCCACAACAGCAGAGAAGTTTGTCTCAGATGAATTGGCTCTTACTGGAGGTTAATGAAACAATTTTTCTCCGAAAATTCATCAGAGACTTTGTCCAAAATCAATCATTTGTATTCAGCCAGTGTTTTTCTCAGCACAGATGATGTGAAGGTTTTGATTGCCCTTGTGTTGAAGTGTCTCGCACATAATACCTTCATCATCATCATCATCATCAGTCGGCCATTCATCTGTCTGGTAGTTTTTCATCACCTCTCTCTCTCTCTCTCTCTCTCTCTCTCAGACAGTTTAAACACTTTAATGAGACATTGCTGTCTACATAGGCAGCTCCCTTCTAAAGGAGCATCCTAACTCAAATGGACCCTTATAAGTGACTGAATTCGAAAACACTCTACATAGGTAATATCACAGTGCTCTTCATGTGAATGAAACATGATTTCAATTTGATGCTAACATTCAGGGATGATACGGAAATACGGTTTTGTATTTTAAAGTTTGTAAAAATTGAATATATATGTTTTTGTAATTTCAAAATACATAAAATATGTTGTGCCAGTCAACCTCTTTATTAGGCTGCTGCTTTCCTAATAATATAATATAATATAATATAATATAATATAATATAATATAATATAATATAATATAATATAATATAATATAATATAATATTTAACTGGCATTTCTCAAATCTGCCACATAAAGATGTTTATTTATTTATTTAATTTTTTTAACAATACAATATGTGTCCTGATTGACCTTATCATGTCACGCAACAATTTCACATTATGTTTTGGAACGGAGCAAAAAGGAAACACAAACACACACGTTTATGTAAATGAACACACACCACAGATTCTATTGTTTCATATAATGCTAATTATAATATTTTAGATTAATCTTAATCCTAAAAGAACACATTGTGCAATCGTCTCACACAAACACACAAATACACACTTTCCCCGAGAACCTCAAATGCTCTTTCCCTTCCTCTGTCTCTCTCTGTGTCACACGTCTCTACAAACTCACAGTACTTCCTCTCTGACAAGCTCTGATTAGATTTCAATCCCAAACCCTTGACAAAAGCCGCCTGGTGTGTGTGTGTATATGTAGTGTAGTGTCTCATATCTCTCCATGAGACGGTGTGTGTTGAAGTGGCCATCAAACACAAAATCGGTGTGTAACTCCTCATCCTCAGCATGGAAATGAAGCGTGAGTGTTTATCTGTGCTTGTGCTTGTGCTTGCAGGAGAGTCCGTCTGTAATAGAGCTTGGAGAGATGTGTGTATGTATGAATGTTTATTCATGTGTGATTATGGAAAAGGTGAAGCTTTTACCCTATTAAATGAATTTTAAGGGGCCTTATCAGGAAAATTGGATTTTCTTGCTCTTTTGAAATAAAAAAGCTTTTTTTCTTGCATTTACTGAAACTAAACTGAAAAAAAGCTTATTTGGATATATATTTGAAATATAATTGTTTGTATATAATATAATATAATATAATATAAATAGGGTTGTCAGTCAATTACAATTTTTAATCTAAATTAATTACATGACGTGTCGAATAATTAATCTTATTAATCGCAAATTACATTTGACTGTGACAATACCCCCAAAAGATTATTTAATGTTATTTTTGTGTTAAATGAGAAAGTATTAAGTAGACATTACAAATAGTAGCTTTAGAAAGAAATATTTTATTTGATTCAACATAAAGTTTTACACAAAAACGTTTGGACTACAACGACTCAACATAAACTATGGAACATAAAAGAAGATCATTTGAGAAACATCTCATAATTTTTTCATGCAAAAAAAATTTACCAGACAAAACCATGCACTCGTGTGATATTGGTCTCGCTGCTCGTGTGATATCCCTTATCATGTCATAAATATGAGACAAAAACATTTTTGGCCTTTTTGCCCCAATATATTGAATTTTAAGGCATAACTGCATTTATGAAGTTGTTGTCCTGCATCATATTTGTCAACAGTCAACTATATGAAATGTAAGATGACATACAGGTCTGGGGTCGGGGCCAGTGCGTTAACTGCGTTAAAATATTTTAATCACATTATTTTTTCATAACTAATTTATTAAGTTAACACATTAAACTGACAGCCCTAAATAGAATAGAATAGAATAGAATATAGTGACATTACTCCAAAATATGTTCTGATTTTATACTGAATGAAGCTAAATAAATGTATCTTTTATATAATATTAAAGTGTCATGAAACTCTAAAACACATTTTTTGAGGTGTTAACATATATGAACAGGTTGCACATCAGTGAAAACAACTTTAGCACTCATTATGTCTATTATTAAGGTAAAAGTGGTTATTTTTGTTCATTTTTTTGCTTTTCTCAGTATTATGCATGAGAATGAACTTTTATGATCCAATCACTGTGCTGTATTATGCATGAGGTAGTCTTACAGAGGAGAATTCAAATCTAATGAAAGAGCTTCATCGCTGTCAGTGCATCTCTGTAAACAATATTTAATATAACAACACAGTGGAGCGCGCATGAGAGAGCAGTTTCTGCACGGAACTCCGCGATGAGTTTAACAATACTTGTTTTGTAAGTGAAGAAACATGCACTAATGTAAGAAGTCATCTGCTACAGTGTTCAAAACAGCTTGTAGAAGATAGTGTGTGTGATAGTGTCTTCTCATCTGAAGAGCCAGAGAAGCAGAGATGTGTGTTTGTCACCTTGCTGCAGGGCATGATCCAGTAGGCGATGGCGAGGAAAGGCAATCCGACAGTGACGCCCAGAACGGTCAAACACTTCACCCCGATGGACTGCTGCCGCAAACCCGACAGATTCTCATACCAGATCGTCAGCAGCTGCTGCTGGCAGTTCGGATGAGCCACAAACTGACACACAAATAGAGAAAAGAGAGGGACAATAAATCATATTACAGTAGCCAAACACAGAACATTCACATTTATACACACAACACATGCTATTGGGAAAACTGAAAATGTGCTAAACAGACACTGGAGTAAATTCCCTCAGAAACCGATGCTATATTATTGATTTACTATAAATATTTAGCTATAAAATATTTTTGTAATTAGATATATGTTGATACACAATAATTGGGTACAATTACTAAAATACTGCTATTATTTTTAATATTTTAGTAATTGTACCCAAATATGTTTTGATGACAACTTTAGCATTTCTTTAAAAATTAATAAATCAAAGAAGATCATTTTATCATCTTCATATATTATAAGAAATAATAAGAAATAATATATGAAGATGATAAAATGATCTTCTTTGATTTATTAATTTTTAAAGAAATGCTAAAGTTGTCATCAAAACATATTTGTCCGATCAATGGCAGACTACTTTTGTCTTAATAAATAATTTTATACTACTGCTACTACTACTAAAAATACATTTGATCATTTTTAAAGAAATTTAAAGAAGTCACCAACAAAACATATTTGTCTGATCAATGGCAGACTACTGTCATCAAAATAAAATAAAATAAAAACTATAATTAATATATAATATAATATAATATATAATTATTCACTTTCAAAACATGATCATCTGCCTACTGTAGCAGACTACTGTCCTTATTTTTATTTATTTGTAGAAATCTGCTGCGTTTTTCTGCAGATTTCTGATGTTTTTCCTGTTGTTTGGTGTTGTATCTCTATTAGACAGGCAAATGTGTGTGTTTCTTTACAGGAAATAACACAAGCCGTGAGCCCGTCTGAGAGAAACAGACAGACGGATCGTGACATTGATTTAAGGTGAGCCACCGGCTGATAGCGTGATCCAGAGCTCAGCCTGACCGACCTAAAGCCCACAGCCAGTACGTGTGTGTGTGTTTAGAGTTTAATAATAGACAATCTATTTCATAAGGTACAAGCCATATCAAATCCTCAACCTTAATCAGCAGCTCACACAGACACACACACACACACACACACAGAGTGAAGCTTGTCTGTCTTCAGTGATCCATTAAATTCGGACACTGAGAGAATGATGGTAGTTATCGCAGTCTGTGTGTGTGTGTATGTGTGTGTGCGTGTGTGTGACACACACGACTCTGAGGTCACCTGAATCTTGTACCTGGTTGCTGTAGTAACAGTCCCAGCATCCCCTCTGACTGTTTTTAATGAGAATTGTCACACACTCGTTTGAATAAAAAGATGCTTAGTGTCCATCTACAAAAAGCCCCAATTTGTATGTGTATGCATAAATTATAATTTAATCTGCATAATTTTTAAAAGCTGAACTTGATTTGCATAATTTTTAATACACACACACACACACACACAGTGAAGCTTGTCTGTCTTCAGTGATCCATTAAATTCGGACACTGAGAGAATGATGGTAGTTATCGCAGTCTGTGTGTGTGTGTATGTGTGTGTGCGTGACACACACGACTCTGAGGTCACCTGAATCTTGTACCTGGTTGCTGTAGTAACAGTCCCAGCATCCCCTCTGACTGTTTTTAATGAGAATTGTCACACACTCGTTTGAATAAAAAGATGCTTAGTGTCCATCTACAAAAAGCCCCAATTTGTATGTGTATGCATAAATTATAATTTAATCTGCATAATTTTTAAAAGCTGAACTTGATTTGCATAATTTTTAATAGTTAAATGTGTATCAGTTTCATACGCTTAATTAATTTTTAAAAGATAAAGAGTTTCTGCTGAACTGATTCTCAGGAAATGTGCATGAATTCGGAAGCTGTGATTAAAAGTGATTTTGTTCATTTGTGTCTTATTTTTTAGTCAAATATTTAAACTGTGTTATTTTATTATAATTGAGATACTAATATTTTGAACTTTTTGTATTGTTTGTTTTTATATTTTCAGTGTTAATTTTATAGGAATGTTTTATTTTTATTGTTTGTAGCTTTCTTTCAAATGTCAATATAGTTTTTATTCTTTATTATTTCAGTTTTAGTTTGAATTATTTTAGTACATTATGTTAAACAATTAAAATGAGAAATGCTGCTTTGGAAACAAACAAAAAAACTTTTTATATTTTATTATTTATATTTATATTTCTTAAAAATTAAGTTTATGTTTTAGTTAGGATAAGTTACAGAATGGGATATCAAATCTTGTTTTCCCAAAAAAAATTAAGTGACTTTTCATCCCTTTTTGGACTAAAATACATACATATCTACAAGAGCTCCTTAAGTTCCAATTTGGTTTCTCTCTGGAATTGTATTTGTTATCTATTGGAGTGGAGACAATATTTGACTCTCGTGCAAAACACTTGTTTTTAATTTTTGTCTATTTGGCAGAAGAAATGTATATTGTTATTGTGGTCATCCCCTCAGGAACCTTCTTTCAAAATGTGGATGCCTCAACTATCTGCATTACTCCCACTTGAGAAACTCACTTATGACACATCAAACGTTGAACAACTTTTGGAAGATTTGGACACCTCTTTGGCATTATGTTAATAACCTCCCCGATTCCCTATTCTACTGGATTTCTCTCTGGAATTGTATTTGTTATCTATTGGAGTGGAGACAATATTTGACTCTCGTGCAAAACACTTGTTTTTAATTTTTGTCTATTTGGCAGAAGAAATGTATATTGTTATTGTGGTCATCCCCTCAGGAACCTTCTTTCAAAATGTGGATGCCTCAACTATCTGCATTACTCCCACTTGAGAAACTCACTTATGACACATCAAAAGTTGAACAACTTTTGGAAGATTTGGACACCTCTTTGGCATTATGTTAATAACCTGTTAACTGGGTATAATTACTTTCCTGCCTGTTATGATTGAAATTTATTTTTGTATTATTTTAATGTATTTCTTTCTTCCCCTTTTCCCTCTAATGTATGTTTGAGACTGTATCTGTATGTTTTTTGACATTGGAGTAACCAACGAATAAAAGAAATAAAAAAATAAAACATTTAAGTGACTTTATGCTTAAACCAATAACAAATATCTGTCAATAAGGTCAGAAAAATAAAACTTGTTTTATTCAATTAACTTTTTTTTCTCCAATTTTTGTCCAGAAAACAAGACTTAATACCTTAAGTAGTTTTAAGTAAATGAGTCTTTATTATTATTATAGCATTTTTAGATATTTATATTGTAAAACAAGCCAAAAATAGCAGTGTGCATCTCTAAACTAACGAGTTTCAGTGCTCGTCTTCATCAACAATACACAAAATGCACACAAATGTAATTGCACGGTCAACATTCACAATTATAACATATTACAATCAATATAATCAGATTCTGTAATTGAGACACCCTCAATTCAAGGCTCAAAGGAAAATGGGTAATTATAACATTATGGCATTCAAGTGCGCTCATCTCATAAACACGATGATTGCAATGTTCCTCGACGGCTGAATTTAACGAAAGGGTCTTATTGTCACGCTTCTTCAGTCAATAAATCTATTAAGATTTCAATTGCAATTTGAAAATTATTAAGATTCAATCAAGCTGGCCTGTAATGAGAGCTAATCTCAGGAGGGTTTGATTAAGCTGAGGGCAACAGGACTAATTACTCTCACGTCATCTGCTTAACAAGGTCGTGATCCCTTTAAACCCACACCAGTGATGGATGACATGATCAGATCATGATCTTCACATCATCCACTGACTACAACAGTCAAAGCACAGGAGAAAAAACAGACTGCAGTGCAAAAACAAAATAATCACATCGACAAATATACTTAGTATGTACTTATGTTGTATCACTTGTAATTTATGCTAATTTTAAATGAATGAATGAAGGAATGAATATAAAGTATTTATTCATCATTTATTGTACTATAATTAATTTATACTGATTTTAAATAAATATATAAGTAAATACAGAAATAAATAAATACATATTAGATTATAATAAAAATAATAAATATTTAAACTTGTAAAGTATTTATAAATAAAGGTAGTATTTATGCACTACTTTGAATTTATGCTGATTTTAAATAAATAAGCAAATAGATCCATTTACAATATATCTAAATTTGTAAAGTATTTATACATCATGGAAGTATTCATTTTAATTTTTTTCTGATTTTAAATAAATAAATAAATGTACATTTAGAATTTTTGATTTTTTATTTAAGCTTTAAAGTATTTATAAACAAAAGTAGTACAGTATGTCTTATTGTTGAGCAACTTGTATATTATGCTGAAATAAATACATTTACATTTATAATTTTTGAATTTTTGAATTTAAATTTTGTAAAGTACTACACAAGAGTAGTATGTCCTACTGTTGTGCAACTTGTGATTTATGATAATTAAAACAAACAAACAAATACATTTACATTTAGAATTTTTCTTTATATTTTTTAATTTAAATATTGTAAAGTATTTACACACAATAGTAGTATGTCCTACTGCTGTGCAACTTGCAATTTACGCTGATTTAAATAAATAAATAAATGTGAATTTAAATATATATATATATATATATATATTTCAATTTTGTAAAGTATTTATACACAATTGTAGTGTGTTCTAATGTTGTGCAACTTGAGATTTATGCAACTTAAAATAAACAAACAAACAATTAAATAGATTTACATTTAGATTTTTATTCTAAATTAATAAATTAGATTTTTTTTAATTATTAAAATTTTGTAAAGTATTTATACACAAGAGTAAGTATTTTGTGCAACTTGTAATTTATGCTGATTTAAACAAACAAACAAAAACATTTTGAAAGGCACCTGGACTGGATGCTTTTATTACTCCAGTACATTATACTGAGAATGCCTTTTTTCATTGCTCAGATGTTGCTCTTTCATTGCTCAGGAGACTTGATGCAGTTGCAGTTATGTTTCAATGAAGTATCAATTCTGCCTCAGATATCTCCTCTACAGTGCTTGAGGAGAAATCCAAATTAGATGCAAACAAAGCCAACAGCTGACATACAGAAAGAGAACAGAGCTACAAAATGAACGTGAAAAGCAGCTCAGACCATTTGATGAGAAATGTTTGAGCTCATATTGAGATCGCAAACGTCGGTATCTTTTTGTTTCAGAAACTGTTAAGATCTCTTGTGAAACTGGGACTCGTGTGAGATTATGGGCTCTTTTTCTCAGGAGAAACATCTGAGACACTCATTTCATGGTGATGCAGATCATCACATGGCTCTCTGGATGCTTCACTGGCCATCAGCGACTGCATCTTTGTTTATCTTGTGAAATGAAAGCAGCGCTGAGGTGTGTCGCCACTGGCCCGCTGTCTCGCCTTCATTTCCTCTCTCTAGCGTGCTTGACATTTAGTCCAATAAGATCAGATGAAGCCAACTACAATTCTCCAGCTCACAGCTCATGGTATTTACCATTCAGAAACACACATGTGTGACCTAAAAACAATAGTCTGTGCAATGATTTCATGAGGAAGCTGATGGTTTTTCATATAGTTCCATCATGTCAGTGGAGTGAGCGCTGAAGTCAGAAGTTGAGGAAGTTGTGGAGCAATTAGCATGCAGACAGAGAGTTCTCCATCTGAGACACAGTCCACCAATCACGAGTTCAGCTGAGGTGAAGAACAGTAGCGCTCAGATACTTGATTAGACTCCAAACCTGAACACCTTGCCTCACCTCACGTCTCCAAATCCACAGATTTCATCCTGATCGGATATCGGATCGCTTCAGATTTGTTTGTATTGCAGTGCACATTTATATTTTCTTTGTAAAGCCCGACATATAAAATAATAGTCCTCAAATCTAATTTAGTACCTTTAGACAAAGAAAAATGTGTTTTTTGTCTTTTGTGGTTCATATAGTATGATATAGTGAGAATATGGAGGACAACCAGCTCAGTTTTATTCAGACACAAACTGATGCAATTATGTAATTTGATGCTGATATTTATATGAACAAAAAGTACGAAATTCTGATTGTAATGCAAATCACTGAGATCTTTATAACAGTATAGCAGCTATATGCATAAAATGATATAAATATCAGTCATCACTCTATATATCCAATAATATGTCTTATGATGATATTTAAAGGGGTCATATGATGCGATTTCATTTTTTCCTTTCTCTTTGGAGTGTTACAAGCTCTTGGTGCATAAAGAAGATCTGTAAAGTTGCAAAGACTAAAGTCTCAAATCCAAAGAGATATTCTTTATAAAAGTTAAGAGTCAGCCACGCCTACCTAAAAC